TATTTTTCCTCATCCTAGCTTACTGCACTAGTTCACCAGTGCAGCAATGGAAAATAATCCTAATTAATATCTCGCTTCGCGGGGCAGAGCAACGCTTTCCTGCCAGATTCTTCTGTTTCGTGCGAAAACGCGTTAAATGAGCCTTGTTTCATTCGATTTTGGAGGTGAGGGTGGGAGCTAAACTAAATAATTACCGCTTTATAAAATTGGCGCGAATTAACAAAAAATGGCGGACCAATCACAGCGTGCTTTCTTACGGCCGGACTCTGATTAGGGAGTCTCTATGAAGAGGCTTGCTGGCCGCTCTCAGTTTTCTCTCTTCAATTTCCTGTTTCTACGTCATGTTTCCAGTTCTTCTGTGATTTCCGAGGAAAGGGGAAGAAGTAACGTGAGTACGTCTCGGAACTTTTCCAGCTTTATTTTTACATATTTCTCGCTCATCTATGCGAGACGATAGATAGAGAGATAGAAAGATAGATATCCTCGATGTAAACGAATCTATCGTATTTATTGATATTTTGTTAAACGTCGCATGTTGGCGTCGCATGGTCAGGTTCACTGTCGCAAGTTTCTGTATCATTGATATTGAAACGTGCACAGTAATCCGTCAGTTTTTAGCAAAATTGAGTTGTTGGTAAAGTACTGGGGATGGTGAAATTTATCACAGATTATGTTTAATGCAGAATGGCGGACGCTGCTCCAGCCGCACGAGGTGGTTTTCGCGGAGGTTTCGGCTCTCGCGGAGGCTTCGGCTCTCGCGGAGGCTTGAGGGGTCGCGGAGGCAGAGGTAGAGGCAGAGGACGTGGCCGCGGACGCGGCAAGGAGGACAGCAAAGAATGGGTTCCGGTCACCAAGCTGGGTCGTCTGGTCCGAGACGGCAAGATCCAGTCTCTCGAGCACATCTACCTGTTCTCCTTACCGATCAAGGAGTTCGAGATCATCGACAAATTCCTCGGTCCGGATCTAAAGGACGAGGTTCTGAAGATCATGCCGGTACAGAAGCAGACGCGAGCCGGTCAACGCACGCGTTTCAAGGTAAACTTTATCGTCTCCTTCTCTTTTGAATACAACAATTCAAAAGGGAACAAAATGTAAAAACGCGGAGAGACCAGAGTATCTAAAATGGAACATCTTACAGGCTTTCGTTGCCATCGGAGACAGCAACGGGCACATCGGATTGGGAGTGAAGTGCTCCAAGGAGGTGGCCACCGCGATTCGCGGCGCTATTATTCTCGCTAAGCTCTCCGTCGTGCCGGTTCGCCGCGGTTACTGGGGCAACAAGATCGGCAAGCCGCACACGGTGCCGTGCAAGGTGACGGGCAAGTGCGGCTCGGTACAGGTGCGCCTGATACCCGCGCCCAGAGGTACCGGCATCGTGTCCGCCCCGGTCCCCAAGAAGCTGCTCCAGATGGCCGGCATCGAGGACTGCTACACCTCGGCCAGGGGATCGACCTGCACCCTCGGTAACTTCGCCAAGGCCACTTACGCTGCAATCGCCAAAACTTACGCGTATCTGACACCCGACCTGTGGAAGGAGCAGGCCCTGGCGAAGGCACCGTACCAGGAATTCGCAGACTACCTGTCCAAGACTCACAAAGGAGGCGCGAGAGCAGCCGAAGTTGTCTAAATAAACATCCAGGCCTCGCGAGAGCGCTTTAAAAGATTGCGAAACCAATCTCATTTTTCTCTCAATTGCTGGACCTACCGCTCCTTATTTCCCACTACATTGAGATCGATGTATAGAAACTAACAATAAGAAAGAACAGACTGGACCTACGTCCAGTCTATTGTCGTGCATACAGGACGTGTCGATGCGTACACGCATATTAATTTGCGATCGGCGCTGTAGATCACAAATGGGATTCACAAATCTTGGCTAGATCTATTTAATACATATTTGTAAATTTGTTTTATTAAGAAGCTTCGATTATGATAGACTTTTAACGGGGATGGATAGAATTTCTGGTATTTTTTTTGTAAAATGAGAATGTCTCCAAATGACGTTAAAAATATGAATTCGCTAATATTTTTGAGCGCGCACAATAACGAAAAGCCTTTGTACCCTACGTTTTACAATTGTTACAATTTTGCGAAACAAAGTGTCATTACTTTTATAACTTGGGGATCCAAGGGTCAACGTACGCAACTTGAACTCTTCGTCAATTAAGAAACTTATTTATTAATTCCACTCATTAAGAAACTTGGGCGTATCCTGAAACCTCTTTTATCGATGAAAGAGGGTTCAGAATATAAATGCCCATTCTACACCTAGGGATGATCCTACTTGTGGCTCATCCGAGTGGAGAAGTTTACACGGACATTTTACTAAGACTATCGTACCAAGTATGGTTTTTGTATGATTTCACTATGATTTTTAACACTCTTCTTATGTAGATATAGCATCAGAGCCTGTAAACTGTTTCAATACGACGATCTTTGTCCATATATTCACTCAATCGGATCATCCCTAGGTGTAGAACGGGCATAGGGCCTTGACGCACGCAATTTTAATTCAATTAAAGAACTTGTGAATCTATCAGGGATCTAATGAGAGAACACGGCGTCACGTATCGTCAGCGGCGTCTTGCGAAGCTCTGTACCTCTCGCAGGCCCTGTCGAACGTCTCGAGCGTGTGGTCGCACATCTTCTCGAGGTCCTGGAGGCCTCGCTTCAACACCTCGATCACATTCTCGCCGGTCGTCTGGATGTTCAGGTGCACTCTGTTCTCCGCCGGATGCGGCACCGTGTGGCCGCAAATCTTGACCCCAGGACTGCGGGAGAGATTGGAACAGGCGTTAGAGAAAATTGTTCGACAATCCAATAATACATACGTGAGTTATGTAACGCACTATTCGCTTATCACGGAGGCGAGCGCGTTCCCCAGGGTGTGTCCCTCGTCCTCGAAGACGAAAGTCCCGTACGTCTCCTTATTTGCACCAGTCTGCAGCTGCGTGCAACAGTGAACAATGAAATCATTCTGCTCCCCCGACGTCAATTATCGTTGTTAATCTGCGTGCTTACCCGCGAAAGACGTTTTTCCATCGCGTTCGGCACCACGGGTCTGCTCACGCTGAACCGCCTGAGGTTTCCTAACCTCGGAGATCGAGACACCTCGATATCTCGCACGAGCGGCTGTTATGCTCTCGTGGATGTGAATGCAATTCTCGTGGACGTGTATCTCTCGCACGTGCGTATCATCGGTTTCACGCGAGTGCTCGTAACAGCCGGTGATTTTCGCACCTCGGAGTTTCCCTCCGTAGTCGACGACTCGGCCTCGTTTCAAACCGGCTTGATCCGAACCGAACCTAACCTAACCTAACCTAAATTTGCAGCGTTCGCGTGTACGTCTCGTCGACTCGTGAGTCGCTTCCCCGATGAGCCTGAGACGGATCTGCGATGTCATCGTCCGGCGGAACTTGCGGCCGCGAGGCGCCGTCGCCGGGCGCTTCCTCGCCACGGAGCCGAAGGACGAGGTCGTCGACATAGCCGCCGCCGACGAGCAGCCGGTGTACGTCTCGGACCCCAAGCTTGAGGAGGAGCTCGACAGGAAGCGAAACAAGTCTCGGCTGAGTACGCGGGACAGGAACATACTTATGGGCGTGCGCCCTTACGACGAGCCTATGGTGTGGTATCACCGTACGGTGAGGTACAAAAGGCGTATGCTGGGCAAGTACGGGCTGAGTAGCGTCGACGTGCCAGCCGGGTTTGCGTGGCCCACGTTGAAAAATGTGAAGGACGCTCAGGAGTACGAGAGGGTCGCCTTCCCGCTGTCCCTTCAAGAGAGATGGGAGAAGTTGGAGGAGACGAAGCGGATGAAGGCCGAACAGGCTCAAGCGAGGTACCGTCTTTGTCAATTGTATCACTAGTGCTGGACGCAATGTTTACAATCTGGGAACTTGTATATTGAACTGCGATGTACAATTTGCAGGGAGGCTGAACTAATTGAGAAACTGAGCAAGATGGATCAGTGGGCAGCCGAGTTGAACGCGAAGGTCAATAAGAAGAAGGCCGACCTGGAGGCCGCCAGATTGCGCAAGGAACGCTTGGTGGAGGAGGTCAGGAAGCACTTTGGCTTCAAGATCTCGTTCAACGACGAGAGGTTCAAGGCGATGCTAGAGCAGAAGGAGAAGGAGGAGAAGAAGAAGAAAAAGGAGGCTAAGAAGAAGGCGAAGATGGACAAGTTCAAGGACACAAACCAGGATACGCCCAACGATGCGGGTGCGGGAGATGCCCAAGAGCAAGCAACCGGAACGACGAAATCTGTAGAATAGTAACGTTTTCGTTCGCAAAGTATAATATAAAAATTCTGTATAGCTAATTTATAATTCATCAGTTCTCCCTCGGGTCTGATTATTTCGAGGCAGAACGTACAGCCAGTGTGATTAAAGCACTCGACACTTTCCTTTACATTTTATTCAAGTAATCGATCAAGTGTCTCAGCACGAGATGTGGCGAAGTGAAATTGGCTACGATCAAAAAATATCCAAATGTTTTCTCTGGCTTTACATTGTTACAGAAGCTTGTCTTTATAGTAGAAACTTTCCAACGGGCACTTGGCGTTTACTCCGGCGCGAGTATAATCTAAATCTCGGGGACAATATACACATGCGTAATAATAAATATCATGCCTTTTTTTTCTTTACTAATACAAAAACATTACACACTGTTTCGCAAAAGACTAGAAGAAATTATTCTAATGCATAGTTGATAAATGACGCTCCTCTTAAGACACTTAACCAGGCACACGTTGGACGACATGTAATTACGTTGTTTATCTCGGATTTCACTCTCGGGCCCTGCTAAAAGTCCTTCGGTGATCACCGCAATTATCAAACCATCGAACTACGTTTGCGTTTGAGAGACGTGACTGCCTCACATTTGTACCGCGCTCGACTCGTTATCCGTTCGTTAAGCATATCAGTTAACCGGCTCAGCTGGTCCAGTTAAGCTTCTAGTTACTTTAGCAGCCGCGTCGAATAAAAATGACTTAACATTCCGCGATCGTCATTGCGAAAGTTTCTCGAGCAGGATCAGCTTCTCGTCATCGTGCAGTCCTCGTTGTCCCGATCGACTGGTGACTTTCATCTCCCGGTCCGAGACGCCCGACTCGGTCTCGGCGACGTCGCGCGGCCGCGCGTTCTGTACCTGAAGTTCGTCGATCACAATAAAACGTAACTTGTTGCCCTCCGTGTGTCAGGCGGACTGCAGCTGCGACGGCGACGTTAATTCGTAAAACTGGAAGCTGAGCTCCTCGCCGAAGAGATTCTCCGACCCTATGATCTCGGGATCGACCACGTTTAATCCCAGACTGTTCGGATTCAGATCCGTCACTAGATATCCCTCGCTCACGAGGCCGCATTCCTCGGCAACGACCTCCTTAGACACCGGGTTTAGGAAATCTGCGAATTACATTGGCCAGTGACGAATCGAATGTCTCTTAATTCCTGAAATGTCGAAGCGATTTTACGGTATCCTCACCACTTTCCTTGAAGGGGCATTGAAGCTCCACTTGCTGCGCCGTCTGCTGGTTCTGCTGACTCGCCTCTGCATCGTTGTTGGTCATCATCATGGGAACTAGATACTGCACTTCCACCTCGCGCTTTATACCGTTGAGTATTTGCTCAGCCGAGTGCTCGAGCGTCACGGAATTCAGTATAACGTCGGTGTCCTCCTCGGAGCTCGGCTGCGCGATGCTCGCCGTCGCGGCCTCCACCTCGTCCATGATGTCACTGCAGTGTCAAGATGCTCGTTCAACAATGCGTCGCAAACAGCTTTGCAAAACTCGACGACGAATCGCGCTAGACTTTTTACCTGATGATTTTGTTACTCCGGGACTCGTCGCAGTCATTTTGCGCTACTTGTCGCGCCGACATTGCGTTTGCCAGGCCGTTTACCGCGAACGGACGAGGTCTGTAATCGCCACGATTCGCGATCGCCCAGAGGTGACCCGCCCCGTGAGGCGCTTTCGAGCCTTTCCTGAAGTGCGGATTTATCGAGAGATTATGCCGGACGGAGTTCTTCCAGCGATCGTCATTGCTTTTATAGTAAGGAAAATGCTCCCTGAAAACGCATGAAAAAGTATCTTATACACTCGCTTTTAATTATACAGATTAAATATGATTTGATATTTTCATAAAAGAAAATTCTCGTACATATTTTTAGCAATTATAATAGCACTCCCAGGAGAGCTACTATAATTATTTCACCTGGGCAAATCGAAGGGAACGCGATCAGGGGCGTTACACGTAAAAACGTAAACGGCGGCAATTTGCGTCCCTACGAAACTAATTTTCTTCACCTGCTCGCGGCGATGTCACGGTGCGTTACGCACCTCCCTTCGCGATTAATTTCACGAGGTCCCGGCAAAGGACGAAAGACATTTGACCCAAGGGTGCATTCGAAATGCTAAATGGCGTATTTACTCGCACCGCTGATCACGATGATCGCGGCGAACGTTGTCACTTATACCAACAGTTTAGCGAATCTGTTTGCAAGTCATGTGTGTACAACAAACCGACGTGACGAGAATAATACTTTAATGCCCGTTTCTACCAATGTAGAGTAGCTTTAATCTCGGCTTAACTTAATTTTTATCTACCAGTTTGAAAAATTAGAAGAAAAAACAAAAGCGACAAGCCTTATCGGCGCGCAGTTCACGAAAGTCCAAAAAGTACGCGTAGACAACATCTTTATACTGTTATTGCGACGAATATTATCGTATGCCTCGGTGATCGAATTGGTGAGACGCCTGCCTAGAGTGTAGGCAGGTCCAGGTTCAAACCCTGGCTGAGGTAATATTTTTCGCAATAAATTTTCTGTATTGTTAAAAGATGCCAGGTACTGTCAAGAAAATACTAACGTTGTTAAAAGACAAAAAGTTAATCTACATTGGTAGAAATCGTCGTTAGCATCGCCCGTGATTTAAAAATGCAGCCCCTAAGTGCCCTTTGAGAGCCATTTAAATTTGACAGTCGTTACAAGCCGAATCGTGTCGCAATCGATAGTCTTGGATAACGTGCGGATAAGATTTATGAAGTTTCAGATATTATATTTGCGACTCTTTGTATAGAATTATCGGATAGATAAGATATTTCTTCTGGCGCAATTGTTCGAGCGGCTGAACCCGGATGATCTATATACGCCTTTTCCAAGGAGCCCGAACGGCGATCGAACAGGTGAAGGCACAGGAGCAGTAAATTGTGCGCATTCGTGTTGAGGGTTGCAACGAAGTATGGCCGAAGGGTGAGGAGTTAGTGCCAGGTGGTGCCAAGCAACGGGGGCAGTGGTACCAATTGGTACCATCCAGAGTAACCCACCCCTCCTCCCCCTCCCCAATCAGCCGCGGGCCACGTTCGTGTAAATCCGTAGAAAACCCCTTGCGCGTCCTATACGCGACTAAGAAAGGCACTTTCGCATATACTTGGAATAAAACTTGCAAATACATTTGTCTCGTAAGTTCAACTTACCGGTTTAAATCGATGAATCGTTTTATTTTAATTTGCTCTTGTCTCAGATTAGGGATTAAAGCGCTATACGTACACAATATAAAAGTAGACTAAAAGAAAACATAGATTGTTAAATATTATAAAAAAACATTACATGTAACTGATGTTTAATTAGACACTTAAATGGAAGGCAATGGAGGGAATATTGTAAGGGAAGGTGCAAAGACTATAAAGCTGTAGCACACTACGTACAACAATTTCAGCAAGATGCTGCTAGGAAAAATCTTCAACTAATAAGCGATAAGTGAACTTTTGCTGCCGAGACTCACGAGATCCACTGGTAAATCGCGGAGACGGTGAGCTCGCCTCTTTCCTGCAGCGCGTGCTCTATCAGTTCCGTGTAGGTGAAGGGCGGCTTCTTCGGGCCGTTGGACGACGCAGACGAGAAATTGCGGCTGTCGATCCCGTTGGCGGGATAAGTCGCCTGATTTGAGTCCTGTCGATACATCGACGGATTTTCGTGACTGCCGTGTCCTCTTTTGACGTCGTTGGCGTAATTGGAACCGTGCGACCTTCCGTTCGGCTTATTCTTGTTGCCTGAAAATGCGCAGTCACCCGCGGAACAGTAGATTCTATTAACGGGACGTATGCATTGGACGTTTTCTCACTCGCAATTTAAGTAATGTGTAAATATTGAGGATTGCGACACCGTCGCGGAAAGACCCGCGTGTAGAAAGTTGCCCTTCCTCTCGCGATTAATCTTGGACGACTCGATACGAAGGGTATCCCTTGAAAATAATGGAGGCAAAGATTTGAATTTTTATACCAACACGAGCGACACGTCCCTTTATGCTCCCAACCTTCTTTCAACTTTAGTTTGTTCGCGAAAGGACGAAGATAAAGCGCCTATTTTACCCTGCACTCTCCTCACCACAATAATTGTTCTTCGTTGCCGCGATGAGCCCCGTGGCGGACCTGTCGTCCGTGGCTTCGATGAACGAGTCCAGTTTGAAGTCGAGCAGCCACGATAAATTCCCGTTCTCCTGATCCTCGAATTGCTGCTGTTGCTGCTGCGGCGGCGGCTGCTGCTGCTGCTGCTGGCTATTGCTCATCATTTCCTTATTCTGTTGCGCGTTCAGATTGGCAAGTGAGATCATGGGAGCGGCAATCGGCTCCCAATAATTGGCCGTCACGTCCGGTTGATAATTCAGCTCCTCGATGTAGGCTTCCGCGGGATGACGCTCGGTGCATCCGGACAAAATTGACGAGGACGAGGGCGACGACGACGAAGAAGACGACGTCACGAGGACGTCCAGGTTCTGCTGTTGCTCCAGATCCGACACGGTCGTCCAGGTGCAATTGGTGCCGTCCACCAGCAGCACCTCCAGACGGGCCACCTGCGACTCCTCGACGGCCTCCTGGCCGGACATCGGCGAGAAGAGGGCCGCCGCGTTGGCGATGATATCGTTCGACGTAGCCACCAGCTCCACTGGCGTTTCCAGCTCCTGGAGGTAGTGCTTGCGGCCTGTCTGGCGAATGTCATCGCAGAAGCCGTCGATGTCCAGCTCGTCGAAGACCTTTCGCTTGGGGCTGTCGATA